CGATCTTCATGATCTATTCACACTTGGTGTCGAAAATGTCGAGGGCGAAACTGAGACAGGCAACTTGTTCCGTGGTTCGGAAGTCAAGTTTGAGGAAGATGGCAAGACTGCTGCTGCTGATGCAGCGGCCGATGCTACAGGAGCCGAGGACCTCGCCGCAGTAAAGGGTATCTCGCGAGCTGAAGCTTTCAAGGCCCCCGAGACTGACACAGAAGACGCTGCCACCACTAACGAAGACGGCACAACAGCCGACGATAAACCTCCTACAGACTCCCGTCTAATGTCAACCATCTTCGCCAAGACAGGCGTTCACTCTGTCCTCGAACACGACGCAATCATGAACTCCACAGCCGGCGGTCGCAAACGAAAAGTCCAAGCCGACCCAGCCTACATTCAACGCGAAGCAAAGCGACAAGCCGCCCTAGCAGCCGAACAACTCAAGAAGAGCATGCAAGAAGCCAGAAACGTGCCAGCGGGAACACCGACATGGACTGGTCAATTTGGCGAAGCAGGACGACCCGAGGCACCACGCGGTATGACATCCACGCGTGGCGGTCGTGGTGGTCGAGGTGGAGGACGGGGCGGCTCTGCCCCCTCTTCAACATCCATCCTTAACAATCTCGCCGCCCGCCAAGGTCGCCCTTCCCCCCTCAACCCAGGCACAACATCCGCCGCCTCATCGCGCGCCTCCACCCCAACTGCACCAACAACACCACAGACATTCCGTGGCCGCCGTATGCTCGAGATGATTCGCGATTTCATGCTTACGCATGGCGGTGTGGTTCCTAGTCGTATGCTCGTCGATCATTTTGATCACTATTGCCGTGCGCAGCCGGGGCGGAATGAGGAGTTCAAAGAGATGCTCAAGTTGATTGCTACGCTGGAGGTTAGTGGGAGTGCGCAGAGGGGGAGGTGGGTGTTAAAGGATGAGTGGAGGACGCCGAGCAATAACAACAACACGGCTGGTAGGGGGAGGGGTGTTGGTGGGAGGTAGAGATGAGTGACGGGGATGGTGGTACAAAAGATGTGGGACGCTGTTCAATGTGGCATTTCAAGGCGTTTATGTTAAGGGGTGATACCATTTTGCTATTTTGTCTATTCAGAATGCCAAGTGCTGGCACGTTTACTCGGAGATATATTAGGAATAATTCTAAGTTCTTTCACACTCGAGTTGGGGTTCTAAACAATTAACTTGTGATTCACAAAGTCCATAAGAGAGAACGCGTGTTTTTTGTCCAACCTAAAAAACAACGCCATACGTCCAGTAGGTTTCATCCGTTATCACAGCCATCGCCTGATTGACTGGGATGCAGGTAGTCCATCAGGTTTCATACATTTGCGAGAACAGACCGAAAGAACACGAGTCGCGTCGCTAATCTACTCGGGCTTGTGTCGCTCTTTGAGTAGAGAGTTTAGAGCTCCAAACGCGTCCCATGACTCAAGTTCTACACCAAGCCGGACCTTGTTCTCTGCTTCAAGCAGCCATTGATTCCACACTTCAGTCTTAGGCACATATTCTCTTGCCCAATCAATCTTCTTTGTATGATAAATTGTCGTCCAAAGGCATTGTGTGAATGAGTGATCTTCAATGATCTCTGGTTGACTGACAGTAAGGTCGATGTGCCATGACAAGCGGACCGGGAGAATCGCGGCAACCCAGTACAAAAGGTTTAGGACTGTATACGTGACAGCGAGTGCCGCTTTGAGAGCCCATACTGCATTGCCAAACAGTACGATGGAGCCCACAAGGGTGAGCCCACCCACAGTACCGCTCAAACCGCGCCCCGTGAAGGAGCTGACAGCGTAGTCGATGTACTCAGGATGGAAGTAGAGAAGACGGGCGATTTGTTCGTCGCATTCCACAACCGTGAAGCACCCGTTCGAGGATTTAATAACGACCGTACCTGGTGGTACCAGCCCTCTTGTCGGACGATATCTAGGAACCATTCGTGGTGTCCAACACATTCCGAGACATAGCAAAGGTGTCGTGAAGCTCATAACTAGGATACCAGTAAGAGCGACTGCATCTCCAAGCGCAAGCGCCCATCCTGCTAGCCCGAAAGTCATTGCGCAGCTGAAAACGGCGATTATATTCATCGGCGAAAACAATCTTGGTCGAATTGGGTATCTCTTCTTGAGACTTTTATCTTTAATCGCGGAATCCCACTGGATCTTGAGTAGACGTGTTGTAAAGGGTGATAGGTCAGACCCATCAGTGTGCAACATTCGACCAAAATACTGCAAAACCGGCCTGTTGTTTCCCGTCCATACCCCCGTAACCGGTGTTTCGTCCTCAGATGCGAGTTTCTTCGGTCGTTGAGCGAGGAGACCTTGAGGCGCCGGAATCAGTCGTGGAAGGAAACATGTCCAGGACATGCAGATCTGTTGGCTGCAAGCTATGATGTTGTGCTCGCCCAAAAAGGCTAGGATGTTGACAACGTCGAGACTCCAGTCATCGCGCACCTGGGGGAAAGTGATATTGATCATCTGAACAAATACGACAATGTTGTATTTTTGCAAGATGCAGAGGTTTTGACGGTACGTCTCTGTGCAATGGCACTGTAGCTGCTTCCAAGACTACTCTTGTGTTGCAGGAAGGTCGCTTAAAAGTTCAGCCGCATGAGGGGCGCAGTGCATGATCAGGCTCCAGGTGAGGCTATGCTTATCAGACTTGTCGAAATTCCGACTCTTCGACGGGCGTTGCTGGGCATTTTGGTATTTCGATAGTCGATAATCGAACTGTGTCTATAGAACGTTGCTGGTGAGATGGTTTCTTCAAGGCGTTGATCTAGAGAAAAGTTGGCCGCCTGTAAGTAGACAAGGGGAAATGTTCTCGGCTGTTGCGTGGGTCAAAAGCGCACCCAATCAGCCACACGCGTTTGAGGCGGTTTCCGCCCCGCGACAACTCCTAAAGCAACTACCAGGACTTGGACTGGAGAATGCGCCTCGTCCTACAGCCTATCGGTCGTATGGCAGACCGCGCATCTCTGAAGCAAGACTGTAACAACGCTCATGTCAACAGTGAGAGCTGCGTCACCAAGACCAGGCTCTATTACTTTTTGGGCCGGCTTTGGAATTGACATCCATAGGTAGCTGTGTCGAAAGGTTTATTGTCGTAAGAAAGATAGACGACCAGAAGGACTAGTAAAATGCAAAGATCATGGTCAGAATAGGTTGCTCGTAGAGCATAATCCGAAAGAGAAGATCATTGCTCTCATCTAAGCTCTTTCCGCTGCAGTCGTAGCAGGTCTGGGGCCCGTCGCAGCTCTCAACACAGGACTCACTGCTGTTGGCGTAGCAAGTCTTACTGAGGCTGTGAACAGTCTACAGACCGCAATTCCGGCTCTTCAAGCTGCGGTGACTATCAACTGGACGATTGGATAGGCTTTAATGACGGACATGTGAGTTCCCCACCGGTGTCGTAACGTACGGACTTGGGGACAGGAGGAAGGGCAGCTTTGGCTTGGTGCCGTACGAGATAGGTTGAGCTTATGACTCTGGCACTCTTTAGATGACAGCTATTACAGTGGTAGAGCTTTGGGGGGTGCCATGCATCTCACACCATTCATTGGCCAGTCGTCATTCGAGTTCGCACATGAAATCCGGCACCGTCCGCGACGGACTCCACCACTCGTCGTTCCTCTTCTCTGGGCCCAGCGTAGTGCCGGTCCGTCTGACCAACCACTTCCAGTATTTCATCGCATGGTACATGTCCCTCCCAAAGCTATGCCAGCTCGTGATCACAAATGTATTCCGGCATCGCTGCACACGATACTTGGTCGGACACGAGCGACACTGCCAGTATATCTTCTCTCCGGCTTTGGAAGCGAATACCTGCGCTTGCTCTGACGGTGTCAGGGGTCCGAAAGTACTTACGTCAACTCGCGACTGATCCGATTCTGGAAATGCAGAGGCGATGACGTGTGTCAGCAAGCGACCATTCTGCTCTGCACTTCGACCATTGATGTACCGGGATGATTCGGGTGTATTTGTAGCGGTGGACTGGTGAGGGCAGAGACGGATAGGTAGAGTAAGCAGATCCGTCGCGCTGATGCGCTTGCTCGCTTGACTCCGGAAAGTGTGCACATGCTTGAGCACCAGATTGCCGTCGATACGCCGACCGGTCGAGTCAAGGCACCAGGATAAATCCTTCTTCATAATCTCAAAACTACCAGATAGTATGTCAAGGAGGGGTCCGACATCGCCCTTCGAAGCAAAGTCTTTGGTTTCCTCTATGGCGTTGGTGATGTGTATCAGCACTGGGTTGTATCCTTGCGACGCATCTTGGGGGAGGTAGTCGATCATTGCATTTTGTCCAAAACACCGCTTAGTCAGTTTTGTGCCTCGGTGGTTTCTTGGTGGTTGCAGAGGGGGATGAAGGGTGTCGCAGCGCTCGCAGTATTCCAGTCTGTCACCCCAATCTCGCGCCAAAAGCTCGATGAAGTCGTACCGGTGCGCGGACCATCGGCCTTCCGTCTTCAACGTGGCCCACGACTGCGTCCCAACTGTTTCAGCGGCCTCTTTGCATGTCAAAGTAAGGCAGATGACTGATGTCAGGGGAAGACGTGTTGCAATTTGCTCGATCAGTTCCTTTGGAAGAGCGAACAAACGGAGCTGTCTGTTGGGATCCGCGTTGATTATATCTTGATGACGAGCAAGGAATGCAAAAGTTGGCGGCTTTGGTATCCTGCGTCGAATGATGCTCGTTTTGGGAGTCGCTGATGATGATGGCGTTTGTCCGCTCCGTGTTTGTCGGCGCGTTGACGCTACGGCGTTCTGGCTTGATGCGATAGCCCGAGAACGTACCGAAGAACGGGTGGATCTCGGCATGGTCTGTAAGTGCACTTGATCTGGAGTAATCTGCCAATTAGAGCTGCATCGACATGTTGATGGACGAATGCGATGTTCTTATACGAGGTAGATGTGAGTGAGCTAGCGTGGACACTAAGTGATTGCTGCCTATTTACCAAGGCAGCACTCCTGCTCCTCATCTCAGAGCAGCGTGATGCTCATCTCACCCGGATCATCTCCATCATTACGCAGTCCCGATGGCAACTGATACCACAATATATCTGCGCGCCCCCAATGCTGTGCGCTTCGCGTCGCCTGCGTGTGTCCTTCCTCCGCCGCTAAAATGGCTCAGCGGCACCTGGAAGCTGACGAGTTCTACTCTTCCCAGATGGCGCAAGGCACGCGACGTGACGATAAACTACGCACTCGTTCCAAGTCCTGCAGCTATTACGGGCGAAGAAATTCTTACGCTCCAGTACGGTACTCAGCTTGAGGACTTCATGTTCTGGCAGGAACCATCTGGTCCTTCGGTAACATATCGATCGGCAATGGGTCTGAGCAAACCGATTAGACCAGGTGGGAAAGCGAACGGCGAGCTGACACCGGATCTGTATGGGGACACTTTCCATCATGGGGAGCGGACAAGCCTTGTTTACACACGACGTGGTAACGGATGGTCGAGACTGATTCGTCAAGGATGGGAGATCCTCGGGTACGGGATACACCCACCATCGCCATACGGACAAGAGCACATCTGCTCTGCTGACGGTAACTCGTGGATCGTGATCTATGTTGCCAAAACGCCAATGGCGCCTGCGGGCCTTAACATTCTCTGCCGCTTTGGACAACTACCAGACGATACCGTGGACGCGATCAAATTGATGCTTACGAGTCTTGGACACGATATGACAGCTTTGGCAGAAAGGCTTTTCAGTGTTCCCATAACGAAAGAAATGGAGAAAACATGACACCTCATTCCTGGAACAACGATCGGAATGTAAGACAGACAAACGACCAGAAGGACTAGCGAAATGCAAAGATCATGGCCAGAATAGACTGCTCGTAGAGCATGATCAGAAAGAGAAGTGCGACTTTAAATGCTGGAACGGAGGGGTTTTGTACGATGCTGACACTGCAAGGGTTGGCATTACTTTGATAGTGTCAATTGATCGTCCTTACTTCACATACGACCATAGGACACTGAAAATTAGGCTTCCCGTCCGCTCAGCCATATACAAGCAGTGTACCGGCGGATTAGTAGTTAGGTGGGTGACCACTAGCGAATCCCCGCTGTTGTATGTTTTTGAATTTTTGCTCGTCTTTTTTTTTTGGTGGGGGGGGGGTTGATGAGGTGGAGAGTAGAATCTTGGGAGGGGAGGCGGGGTTGGGTGGAGATTCTGAGTGCCCGACCATCATCGAGCTCGGCTCCGAGGCCAACAAAATAAGAACGCCAAATCCCGAGATCCTGTTCAACACCCGCATGTGGATTTCAGCGCCACCACGCTAGTCGTCGTTTTTTGGAGTTTCGACCGCAGCCCCAGGTCCGACTCCCGGACCACACGACATCCGTCTTTGCCTTCTTTCTTTCCGTACTAGCTCAACCTCCACCCTTACCAAGTCATCCCCAATAACGCCTCGCAACCCGTTGTCGTCGACATCGAAATAGAGCGCCCACTCTCCAGGTCCATATTGAACAGCGATAAACCCCTCCCAACCCATGAATGTGACCCGGCGATCCATCTTTGTCACGTCCCATGGGCCAACGATCTGAGGTTCTGAAGCAACTCGATCGCCGTGTTTGACTTCGCAAGTGTCGCGATCCACATATATCCAGTTCAACTGGGGTGGGTCATCTGAGATGGTCGATACCATGCCTTCCCCCTGTCGTCCCCAGTCTTGGTCTGGGAACGGCAGGAAGTAGCCTGCAAATGGGTGATCTTCGGGATGGCCGTCCGGAAACTCATCTGACGGTACATTGAGATAAAGCTGGTGTAGTCATGTTAGCTGTGAAGCTCGAAGAAAGATCCAACAAGCGTCGGCCGCAAGCCCGGAAGGGAATGCTTCACCTTGTTTTCGCTGAGTACCACTTCGCATTGATCGATTTCGCGACCGCTTCTTGTGGCTCGCGAACAGGATATTGAGAGATTAGTCTTCAGGCCCCGATGCTTTTCCCTGGCATTTTGTCTTTGGCCTTGACGCACTGCTTCAGTTGTGCCTATGATTGCGGGGCAAGTAGCGATGGCAGTCAGAATGCCTAGCACCATGATACTTGGGTTCCTGATGGAGTTGTGCGAAGATGATTGCGTTATGGTCTGACCATATTTAAACCTGCTTTTGCGCTCGGTGCTCGGTCGGTATGGATCTAGGATCCTATACCTGGTAGGTGTCCTTGCTCTCACGGGAACAAAACTTGATTGAGAGTTATTAGAAGAAAGGCGCACAGGTTTCAGAGTGGATTCTGTAAGTCTCGGGCCGTTGTTGCGTCATGGCATCTAATGGGTATCTGAAGCTTAAAGGAAGAGCTCAGTGTGATTCCAAGTTTACCATCTATATCTTTGACCCTTCGATCAGGTATTGAATCTTAGCAAGGACTTCTCCCAATCCAATTGGAACATCAGATTGCACTATCGACATGTCTTCAGAGTAAGTCATAACATCTAACTTTCAGTGTTCTTGTTATATCCCAAAATATCGTTCTAATCGATAGCAAGTTCCCCAGCCGGCGACGCAACCAACAACACTACCACAGAAGCACCCCAGACTCCTAGGAAAAAGCCCTCGAAACTCGGAGGCCAGAGCAAGAATAACGAGATCGAAAAGGCTCCAGCGCCTCAAGCATCCCAAACATCGGACGATGACGGCGGAGACACCGAACTAGAAGCCACCATCGCAAAACCCAGAAAGGGCCGTCGCATGGTTCCTGTCCACCAATCGCGCATCGCGGACCGACCCGTGAAAGAAGGCGAAAAGGACAGTTCGCTCAAGATCAAGATCGAGCTAGATCTTGAAGTCGAGGTAGAACTCTACGCCCGAGTTAAGGGTGATGTGACAATTGGGCTGATGTAGCCCAGGTCGAGATTTATGCGCGCGTCAAGGGAGACGTGACGATTGGTTTACTGTAAGAGTGAGTCGGTTGCTACATTATTACTGAGCGGAAAGTAACGTGTGTCATGCTTTAGTACCCCGGAAAATAAGTGAAATCTCGATAGATGCAGCACTTTCCTCTGCGATCGACTTGGATACCCGAATGCATGACAGCTGAGTGCAATGAACGGAGGAAAAGTTGCATGCGCGACGACTTGCGAGTAGTGGGCTGAGATCATTGCGATAGTAACTAGTCACACAAGAAGAAAGGGTGGAAGCTTGAGTGACCACGAAGGTCTAAGGCCGACCTGTATTAGTGAAAGGCGTGCCAAGAAGTGCATGAGGCTTCAAGCCAGTGGCTCAACCGCTCGAGCCACGTCTTGTGTGATTCACTTGAATCTTTGGGCGAGGAATGTTGTTCACAATATCTTGAGTATGCTCTGGAATACAGTATTGTCATCTAATCGATTTCCTCATTGTAGATTCCTCCCCAATAAGTTTCTGATATCTCGAGAGTAAGCCTATACGCTTATGTCCGTCGTGAAAGTGCATCGTCCTCCACTCGCGTCGTTTCCGTCTCTCACGTAAGCCCACTGCAGCGGCAGGAAAGCACAGTCTTTGTCGTCTGGGTGCGCGTGACAGTTCGCGCTGATCGCAGCACTGCACGTGCTCACCAACGGCATAGGACATGGCTCGTCCCCTCGACCTTTCCTCCTTGTCGACACCTTGTACTTGAAAGTGAAGCCAACAAAAAGTAGGTATAGAACAAGCACACTTCCACTTCCTAGCGCAAGAATGATACCCAAGCTGGAGAATCCAATGCAAGACCCATCCATGTCTGGAGCTCGTTCGAAGGTTTTTCGTGGCTCATATTTAGGCACATACGCGACTGTTTGCACAACGAATACGCTCTGGGAAATGAAGAAGTGTAAAAGACCAGAGAGAGCCATTAGAGTGCCAGAATATCTGTAAGGAAGAGAGAGAAAGAACGAAGAGCGTTGTATCCCTCTTGGTGTAGACACTCTTAATGCCTTGCGCCTCGAGGTGTACTTGTTCCATTCTGCTGCTACGAGCATAACTGTTAGCAAGTTATTGACGAGAAGGTAAAGCGCGCTGACGATAGCTTGGAACATGTTGGCGAAGAGTACTGCGAAGAAGAAGCCCTTGGTTGGACCGAGTCGGCCAGTGATACCCGTTAGTGCTGTAGCAAACTGTTGCGGTGTACCTAGGCCATAACTTCCAAGTGACATAACATCTGTGTCTACGCCTTGAGCTTGTTGGGAGACTATGGTCATGTGGAGCAGAAAGCCCACGGTTCCGATTGTGATTGCACATCTAGAAGAGTTAGCTATGCTTCTGACAACGGATTGATTGACCTTACGATGATATGGTCAACACCCAACGACTTAGACTCGCTGCGCGAAACCAGCGGACCGAAGTAGGCGAGGCGCTCGGAATGTTCAAAGGCCATTCTTTTACAAAGTCTCGTTTACTGGCAAGGCCGCACGTATCTGTAGTTTCGTCATGCTTCCGTAGAAAACTCGCCATTGCATCACCAAGCGTAACAAGGTAGAGCGATTTGCCAACTGTAGAGGTCTCCTTTGGTTGAAAGATAACTTGTACAGCCCTTGTGAAGGTCTGTGCGATAAATCCTCGTTTTTCTTTTGAGCCAGACAGGTACCGGGGGTTGATACCGATTCGATTGTGCAGACGAATTGTGAGTGCGATGCAGATGCACTTTACCAGATTCAGTACAGTGACTATGCTCAAGATCACCTTGCTTACACGCAACATGCACTTGTCGTCCATATTCTGCAGCTCATCTCGTGGGAGGCAATGGTCCACTTTAGTCCACACATCGTCGCTTGGGTCATCTTTGAGGTTTCCGTCGAATTGGAATCTAACCAATGTCCAAGTATCTTCATAAGGAGACTTCATAGTCTTTGGTGTACAGCTGACGCGAGTTGCTAAGTTCCACTTATTACACATCCAGTCACTGTTCATGCGCCAGTATATCGCCGATTCGACTGTGGTACCGTTCCATAAGAAAGACGAGCGTTTGTTGCTGTGTTCGTACGACAATTGGTCGTTCATGGTCACATTAGCACTGACCAGCAACAAGCTACTGAGGCCAGCCAATCTTCCAGCGTATCTAGCGATGCATTCCTTGTTGTCCAATTTTGGAAGGCGTAGTGCATTCTGTCTTATGAAGTCGAGATCTGGACTGTCGACGAAGAGCCAAGGATTTGGATCGTCCAAATAGTCTGTAGTCACGTATCCTGTCGAATAAGTACTGAATGGAGTTGTAGCAAAGACTGCGGAGTTCCAACTTCGCAATTATTAGCCAGCATAACATGCAGTTGCTCGTGAGTCCAGACTTACAACAAATGCAATAGCCCCGAACTCAACATCAACAAGAACCACAGTGTTTTCTGCTGTGCTGGAACCCTCCTCAGATTCCTAAAACTTTGAATGCCGATATCGAACCACCTTCCTTTCGTATGTGCCTTATCAACCATTTCTCTGGTAGGTGCGACTAGGAGCTGAGCACAGTAATTACTAGCAGCCAGTAGCAGAGTAGAGAGAACGTTGATTCCAACATGAAGCCATTTGTTCCAGTCTTTGACCCGTGCACAATCATCCCCACCACCAGCCCCGAGAATGTCGCTGATATTCTCCTTGACACCATGCTGCACAGCCGCCCAAACCGTCAGAGCCAGATTAAGCGACAGAATTAGGACAGACAGGCCTTGTATGAGAAGTAAGCCAACATCTCTGTCCGTGAGACGTTTAGACCAGCGCGTATCAGTGTGCGGATCGACTTCTGGCAACCACTTCCGAAGATGAACAATACGGCCGAAACGATTGTCCTCTGTCGCACATGCTGCATCATCTTGTGGGGGGTGTGGAAGGAGTAAGGTCTGCGACTCCGGTTGCAACTGACTTAGCTCATAGTCATCGAAGTTGCGCGGCATTCCTGCTTTCGAGTGTAGTATTGAGATAGAGCTCAGGTGTTTATCCGAACAGGACGGGCAACCGCTTATACACGAGGCGGATAATGACTCTCGATGACATTGGTCCACGTAGGGTGCAGTGATACTCACGCCATAGCATAAAGACTGTAATCTCCGACCAGTGAGCAACTTACAAAAAGGTTCTTCTGAGGCTCAACCAACTGAGGGTGGTCAGCTTTCGTGTAGATTTGCCTAAGCCGGAATGCTAAGCATGCACGTTGCCACTTCTTGGAATGCAGTGTATCAGGCTGAGCGCCCAGCGTATGCCTACATCACAAAATCAACATTGCACCAGTAATGTCCACCTCATCTCCTGGAAGCCGATAAGCTTCGCTGATGGCCATGAGATCTTTCGGAACTAATACGTGGCATGCATAAGACGAAGTCCTCTACAGCCTTCTCACAGTCCATGGCCACATCAAGTACGTGCTTTCCAAAACAGTGCTTGCTCAATGGTTACCTAGCTGATGTGCTTTCGCGGCATAAGTGATCTTCCTGCTGAAGTGTGGCTATACTCGCTTTGAGCCGAGTCCCGATTGCCCAGATCCATTCTATGGGATCTTGCGCGAGTTTACGCAGATGGACTAAAAGCGGGGGCGCACCTTTCTTGGGCTCCTTAGTGAAGGATAGTAGCCGGCCAGAGAACTGCATAAATTGCACGATGTCTCAGCAAGGCCGCCGGCGGGAGAAACTTCTTTGCTGATAGAATAGAGGGGTAAAAGTGTCAAGAAGGAGTTGCGATGCACTAGGCTGGAGATAACTTTCTAGTGTCGTGCAGCCAAGGCGAGGCGTACAGCTAGAGAGGCTGAGTTCTCGCAACATGATTGGATCTAGGGCATTGTGGAGTTCTTGTGCACCTTCAGAGCCCTTTGTACGGTACACGTTCGTCACTACCGAGTCCTTGTAAGGTTTTTCGCTACAGGTGAGTTTCAGACCATTATGGCCAGGTAGATTACGTACTTTGTGACGCTGACCTCAAAGATAGTGTTCTGTAAATATCACGCTGCAATAGTCTTTCTTTCCAGTCACTGTCCTCATGATTCTTTCCCTTTCCGTTTATCCTCTACAACATACGCAGCAAACTTTCGCTTCCTACCAAGTCGTCCAGGACCGCCAAGCGCCAGTTCGCCCTGCGCATCCTCACCATTGGCCGCATCGCCGATCCATCCCGGCAACTCATCCAACACGCGCACGCGCTGGGCGTTCGGGATGGCTCGAAATTGGATCTTGTCGGGGATGGAAGCGCCGATGCGCAACATGGCGAAGGCATCCAGCTGGTCGGTCCAACGCGGCAAGACGGCGCTGTAGATTGCAAGACCCAGAAGCGATGCCAAAAAGACACCGAGAAGGATGGAGATGACTAGAATGCCGGTACGCGATATAACGGGCACGAGGGTGTCGGCACCGTGGTCGTACGTCACAGACCAAGTTTTCATGAATGCTGTAGAGGAGAGCCATGCCTCGTTGGCGAGGAAGGCAGCGGATGTGAAGGCATTCGTGATGCGATCGCCCTTGTACCCGTCGTAATGGTTCCAATACAGTGAGTGCACAAAGTTGGCTACCTGTCTTTGGACGTCGTCGTGATTGTGAATCGAGTTTTTCAGGCAGGGATCTATGAACGTCCCAATCTGGTCTTGGTCGCTCCACGAGTGTAACAGATTTGTAAAAGGAGCTTGATCTACACAAGCACCGTAGTTCGGCGTGGCTTTCGCCTCTTCATAGGTCATGTTTGGATACATGAAAGCATTTGGACGGGCCATCCGCTCTGCAATGAAGGATCCAGAACCGAAGAGGGCCAAGGCGACTGTTAGCAACGGGCCTCGGTTTTTTCGCATTTCCAACGTGAGAGATGAGTTCGCAACACTACTTATATCACCAGGAAACTTTCCGCGCGCCAGTTTCGCATTTGCATCCGCACTATAGTTGTACATGAATGAGTAATGGATCCAGTGGGATGTAGTGAGCAGAAAACGTGTCAAGAACTTACCCGTTCTGGCGGTAAGCTTGGTTACTACAATTTCCGCCACAGTGATTCATCGGGTCCTCATCAAGCAAAGGCCCTGGTTGTTCGCCATTCATGTAGTTGGGCAGCTCAAAATAGCCCAAAGCGGTGTCAAGCGAGACTCTAAACAGTCCGCCTCGGTCTTCAGGTGTTACGTACTGCTGCATAGGGTCGGCTGATACCAGAGAGATATTAAGATAGAGTTCTTCAGTGATATCTTGGCGGGTGCGTACAGCACGCCACGGCGACTGCGTCAAGTTCGCTGGCATGCAAACTTCCAGGCTCCAGTTTCCCCAACCTGTCATGGTGATATAGTTCGGGTTCGTCGCTGCGTACCTAACATGGAAGGCACCCGGCAGATCAGCACAGTTTGTGGGAAACTCAGGCTCTGTGATGACTACCCGATGAGCTGTCGAATTCATTCGCGGAAGGTATTGTCGGATGAGGCCCGTACTATAACCTGCTGGTAATTCGGCGAAAAAAGGATCCGGGAGTAACGACATGTTGCCAAACGCCATATTTGGCAGGACGCAGTTCAGAGGTAGTTCAGCCGCCTCCGACTTCACAACCGCTTGACTACACTTGATGGGTTTGCTCGTCCACAGTCGACCTTGTGGACTGAGATTGCTCGTGGCAGCCATAGCCGATCGAACCTTGACGGGTATCATGTTCAGGTCAGGCAAGTCCTCGTTGTCGAATTGATCCAGGATATCGGTCAAGGAGGGAACCATGTCCGGAAATGTAGGCGTTTTAATCGTTTTCGTGGTTATAAACAGGGTTCGGAGAGGCGCAATTATTCCGCCTATTCTTATCAATACTCGGTCATCTCAACAAGGCGGCTAGGGAGTACCGAGGATGTTCAGCATGATTGCGAAGATGAGCAGCTTGTTTCCGTACTTTTTGTATCTGCCTGTCATGAGCTTTACATATATATCAGGATCGGACCAGCCACGGTCAGCCAAAACTATGGTATGACGCAGTGTTAAGTTTCGCTGGCCCTGCTGCTGTACAAAAGTGACAACAGCCTTGGAGCATACTGCAGAAACGAGAGGGAGAGTTAGAACGGCCACAACTGAGTTTATGAACTGAGCAGCTTGGAGCCACTCTTCGTTCTTAGCGTAAAATGAGTGGATAACAGAGGCTCCAGTCCAACCGTATGCATGCGGTACGTCAAAGTTCACACCTAGGCACCAAAGTTGTCAGCTGGCACTCTCTCAGAAAGACGTAAGGATGGCAGGCCATAATTTGACGTCGCCGTTATCGGATGAAATGTCAGGGTACACGTCACAATCCAGGCGAAGAGCGCGAGTGCCGCATAGAGCAAGACCAACACAAGGATGTAGCCAGAGTGATAAAGACGGGTTCCATGTTGCTTTGAAGAAACAAGTGACGTCTCGGGCCGTTCTCCAGGCTGCATTGCATCGTCCTGGCCATTTTCTCCAAGTGTGGATGCCACCATACTGTCCACTGGTGCTTCAATCTGGTTATGTGCCGCCTGCGCAGAAGCGTCATGATCGCTGAGATCGGGGTCTATTAGATGTTCGTGCTCCATCCTTTCGGCAGTCGGGTGCCCCTCGCTGGTATAATGTGCATAGAGAAGGAAAATACGCTCGCGACAAGTCCCAGATGGTGGATCAAGACGCGCTAGAAGGCAGCCTGGGGCCAAATCACCCACTTCTCATGTCTATACGTCAGCTCGCATAACACCCTTGTTTTCGAGTAAGCAGTAACTGAGCCAGCTTAAGCCACAATATCTTTCAATTAACCTCATAGCAAGCCTAGCATATTGCCATTTAGGCCTGTATAGCAGGTGAAGACCTAGGGGAGAAAAACGCAAGAAGGATTGCAACAAAGTCAAGTGATTGACAGGGAGGAGAGTAGTGTTAGAAAGGACTTGCGATCTACCACCTGGGCAGGCTGCAAATGACCTCCCAGTGTCATGCAGCCAAGGCGAGGCGCCCAGTCGACGAGGCTGAGCTTTTGCAGCATGACGGGAGGGGCGCTACGAGATCTGACGATCGATGGGCTCGAAATTGGCTGAGCGTGAAGGTGTCCAAAACAACATGCTAAGGTGCTGATAGATCCGTTCGAAGGTTGTGTGAAGTGTATTGGTCCGGGCGTCAGAGGGACCTCGGGAACCAAAGTCCAAGTAGTTCCAAGCCACGCAGCTAGTCAAGCCACCCCATATAATCAACGACTCAAGCTTGACACGCGATAACTCTACTAAGAAAGTACTTGGCTGCAGCGTTATATGTGGCAAGAATTCACAAGACACCTGACTAGATGTTGAAGGGCTATCTTGATAGGCGCATAGGTGATGCAAACGCCCTTTGCGTGTCCAACTGTAATGTCGCTTGGCGTGGTGTCTCGCAGATTTTTGCCGCACCTGTCGGTAGCATATAATGAATGAGATCATCGCTGTCTACACGTTACTGATGTGATGTTTTGTAAAACAACTAAAGAATCCACAGTGTCAGCTTCTCCCACCGGTTATAACCTTGTGAGGGCTAGAGTGCTGGAGCCGCGGCTGCACTTGCTACAACTTCATGATCGGAACTGCAAGACGTCAGTATGTGCAACCACCAGCAAAACAATAACCGCGAACCGACGTTCTAGAACTAAGACATGCGACGAAAGGACCTACCGAGACACAGCCTCTCACCACGATGGCGCGCTCTTGATTAAGCATACCAAGCTTCGGATCTCCCCAATCCTGAAGCTTGTGTACCCCCCTCTCATCTTGGCGAAATGAAGAGACATACGCCGTTCTCCACAAATACAAGCCTAGTCGTTTCACTGAACAAAGCAAACGGGCTCGAAACGGCGCGTCAGTAAGCCGAAAAGTGGGCCTACCATCTCGCTTGGCCTAGCCGCCGCGTCCCGATGACAGCACTGACAGCTCCAGACGCCATACAGCAATACATCTCCGTGATATTCTGCTCACAGCCACTACGGTCCCCGGTAATACCACCGAACATCTCGGTAATGATCATGAAACGGTGGGAACAATGCGGAGACAATATGCCGCCATCCCGTCGACCTGGAATCAGGTCTCGAACGGTTTGGAAGCGCAAGGGCACGACCTTCTGGGTACCCTTCCCATGAGATGATAAAAGCGCAATCCGTCCGCTGTTTTCTTAGTTCTCCATCACATCTGTGAAGTTTCAATCCTTTGCTTCTACTTGTGCTATTTACATTCTCATCCTTTCTTTGCCTACCCAAGTCTATCATTCATTCAAACTTCGTTTCAATGGCTCGCTACTCTTTCGCATTCGCTGCTCTTGCAGCAAGCGGTGCCTACGCCGCCCAGGGGGCGGCTTACGCGCAGTGTGGTGGACAAGGCTTCACCGGTGCCACTGCCTGTGTATCTGGCTACCACTGTGAGGTCCAGAACGACTGGTACTCTCAGTGTGTTCCTGGCGCTGGCTCAGGAGCCGCGGCCCCTGCTGCTCCCAAGACCACCATGGTCACTATGGCACGAACCTCGACTCCTGCGACCAAGACTTCCACCAAGGCAGCCGCTGCTGCTACCAGCAAGGCCGCTGCTGTAGCTGCCGCTCCTGCCTCGTCCAGCGGAAAGACCCAGTATGCTGGTATGAACATTGCTGGTTTCGATTTCGGATGCGACACATCTGGATCCTGCAGCGGAGCCTACGTCGACCCCGGTGCGAACGGAATTGCTCAGATGCAACACTTCACCAAGGATGACAAGCTTAACATCTACCGTCTTCCCATCGGATGGCAGCACCTTGTCGGCAACAAGCTCGGTGGTGCCCTTGATGCCACTGTCGCTGGAGCCTACGACAAGCTCGTCCAAGGCTGCTTGGCCACCGGCGCTGTCTGCCTCATCGACCTCCACAACTACGCCCGCTGGAACGGCCAGATCATCGGCCAGGGCGGCCCAACCAACGACCAGTTCGCTGATATCTGGTCCAAGATCGCGACCAAGTACGCGTCTGAGAGCAAGATCGCTTTCGGCCTGATGAACGAGCCCCACGACCTCACCATGTCCACCTGGGCCGACTCCGCCCAGGCTGCCGTCAACGCCATCCGCAAGGCAGGCGCCAAGTCCCAGATGATCCTCGTCCCCGGAACTGACTACACATCCGCGGGTACCTTCCCCACTGCCAGCGGTCCTTCTCTCCTCAAGGTCAAGGACACCGACGGCACGACCGACAAGATCATCTTCGACGTCCACCGTTACCTCGACAGCGACAACTCTGGTACCCACGCTGAGTGCACCAGCGACCACGTCGAGGACTCTTTCGTTCCCCTTGCCACCTGGCTCCGCACCAACAAGCGCCAGGCTATCCTGTCCGAGGTCGGTGGTGGCAACACTGCTTCGTGCGAGACTGATGTCTGCGCTGCTCTCGCTAGCTTGAACAAGAACAGCGATGTCTACCTTGGTTACATTGGCTGGTCGGCTGGTGCTTTCGACCAGAGCTACGTCCTTGGATTGACTCCCAACGGTTCGACTGACCAGGCACTTGTCACCAAGTGCTTCAGCCGTGCTTAGAGTAAGAGACGTCGGTGCTAAGGCTGTGAGGTGATGCAGTGTGTAGACGACATGGCTTCGTGGAGGCTTTGCTTTTCGTTATCTTCGATTCTTGTGTAGACTTTATCCAATCAAACTTTTGAACTTCGACATAATCATAGCTCTTCCCGCAAACTTTCATGTGATGTTGATTTTAGACATGACGACCGAACTGACCACGGCGGCGCATTCAATGAGTGGACTCTACGATACTGTCAAGTTTCCAAGTAGCACATCCTCAGCCGATCGCGCAACATTACTACCTTCGTTGCTAGTTTTCGCAATATGCTTTCGGAAAAACTCCACTCATGGCAAGTTCAACGTCATCTTTCGATAAGGCTTCTTTATCGGCCACACTGCTCCGATTGTATGAGATAGAAATTGCCACTAGCAATGTGGATTTTTGGACAGAGAACCCAGCCAATACAAATTGAACTAGACTCAGATCCAGCCAAAAAATAAAGACATGCCAATCATTCGAATCATCTTTTGGTAGGTGTAAGGCATAACTCAGAACTTCGACATGATGCGTTTGATGTTTTCTTTTGAAGAGAGCAGAGCGCGCCACCAACATCCGGGCGTTCTCATCAGTTTTTGGAGAAGACTAAGCAGGCTTGGATGTGAACAGAAGTATCGGAAGTATAGAGTGAGATATTTATACACGCGGTAAGATGCCCAGCATGTGATCTTGGTGCGTGGTGTAGATGTCGGACTTGGGGCAACCGAAATTTGAAGTACCTTGCGACTCGTTGGCGAGGAAATACATGGACGTTGAGTGAATAAATCTGATAGTGATAGGTCTCGCTCCGAGCGTCCACATAAATTTGACCACTGCTGTTTTCGAGGAAAGCAGAACACGCCACCGACATGAAAGTCGACCCTTTTTTTTTGACAAAAAAGGGAGTAGTTGTTGGCATGAATAGGAGTAGAAGTCGTAGAGCCGCTGGATATTTATGCTTAAGGTAAGACGCACGGGGTATGGCTTAGCGCGTAGAGAAGATGAGCGTCATGAGGTATCTTTGTCTGAATTTGTCTGTGGGTCGCTCCAAAAGAAAGCAAAGACATAGCTTCAATGGTATGGCGTTTTGATAACAGGAGGTGGTACGGTTTGAGAGTACCCGTACGATGGCGAACTGAGCCCTTGGGGAGAGCGAAACGCGCGACGACCATTTCCTCTTTTAAGTCGATTTTTGGAAAAAAGTAGTGAGTTCGAGTATAAAGAAGAGTATCCAAGTTGTGAGAGATAGGCATTTATATGCATAGAAACATGCTAGGAACGCTGCATTGGCAGAAGCAGCATCCATGATCGATTAACTCTCTCGTTTTGGTCATGATCTTGCGTGTAGTGATTTTGGTAACAATAGGGAAAAGACATTCTTTCCATCTGTTGCCTATGTCGGAGAACATGACCAACGGGAAACACTGGGCTTTGATGTGGTCTGCGGTCTTTTCGAGGACGAAGACATACCCAAATTCCGGACCATATTTGGCAATAGATGACTTGGCTTTCTGTGGCCTCATCAGGTCACTGTTTAGGTTTTTTTGGGACGAGCGCGACCGCGCCACGACCATGAGTCGGTCAACTCATGTTTTGGAAAGAAGGATTGGGTCTTGGTGTGCAGGAGGTATAGGGAGTGTGAGCAGATGATATTTATACTGATACGAAGATGCGCGGAAGTTGACTTCGTGGACACAGCACTGCTCATGACCACAGAGATTTGCGCTTTTTGGTTGTCGCACATAGTTTGTTGTAATTCTGGTGGCAACAAGAGAACAATATGCTCCTCTTCGCTGCAATTTTTTGAACCAAGATGATGATCGACGAGGAATGCCCGAATTTGAACCTGTACAAAGTTTTTCCAAGGAGGAGTACATGTGGAATAGGCAATGACCCTTGGAAAGTAAAAAGCATGGCGTGGAGTTTCCATGACCCGTTTATGTCTAGCCTTTTGACGGAAGCGACACACTCCCCAGACATTAAAAGTCGACCACGTCGTTTTTTGAGAACAAAGGAATGGTTTGGGATGTAAAGAAGAGAGTAAAGAACCCGAGCTCAAGATATTTATATCAACACGAAGTGCCTTGGCGCGCGGACGATTACAACTTCCCTCTACTCTTCGCCATCTCCTCTTCCAAAATCATACCAACAGGCCCGCCACGACTTCCATCACCAGCCCACTGTTCTTCCGGTACACGCTCAGCCGGCCATTCCCATCGACCCTTGAAGTCATCCGGTGTTCTGCCTTCTATACACTCCACAATACTATCGCCAATAACAGGCAAAAACTTGAAGCCATGTCCCGAGCCACCCGTCGCCAAAAACAGCCCCTTGTACTTGGGATGGTACGAGATCAAAAAGTCGCCATCCCTAGTATCGGTGTACCAGCAAATCTTTGATTTGGTGAATGGTCGCGAGGATGCGGCGAGGGAAGGGTGTATGGCTGCGAGGAAGTCTCGGCATTGGCGTTGGCCCTCGATTGGGACTGCCTGTGACGGATCGTCGACGTGTGTGTATGGTAGGGAGATGGTGATTGTCTCGTTGGGGTCCTCTGACTCCGGATGTGGGATAGTGGTCGGGTTGAGGTAGCCGTGGCCGTGACGCGCGACTTTGAGGAGGCGCTTGGAAGGCGGAATCATGAACAAGCCATGGGAGAGGTTCAGGATAGTTGGCCGCGTAGACATCTTCGCTTCCTCCTCCTTGGAGATGGGCATGTAGCACAGAGCCTGCCCAGTCGCTTTGCAGATGCCTCGGAGATCGATGAGCGACGCCGTCCATGCGCCTGCCGCCAGCATCGTCAGATCCGCCTTGAGTTCGCTCGAGTCGTCAAATCGCACGCCGGAGACGGTGTTGGTTTTGTGATCAATCAACAGCTTCTTCACGGCCTTTGTGACGAACTTCACCCTGTTCAGCTTCTCGACCTTCTCCCTCAGCCACATCATCGCGCCCTCTGCGTCTGCCCAGCCTGAACTCCAATTCACGTATCCGGTGCTACCGTTGCCCCATGGGTCTTTGCCTTCCAGACCACATGCTTTTTGTATGTCCTCCGGCGAGTTCAGCACTTCTACTTTGTCTGTTCCGATCGCGCGGACGTTTGCGAGTGATCCGGAAACGTACTTCTGCTCCGGACCCCAAGCTGTCACACATAGGCCGACCTCATGGTAGTGTTCGGTCGCAAAGTCGGTTCGCCAGCGGTTTTGCGCGATGGTTGCGAGACGGGTGTAGCGTGCGGCAGCATAATCAGGACGGATGATTCGTGAAGTGTCAATCTGTATGCTTTTGCTTAAGCGTTTGATTTTGGTTGAACAGGTTGACTCCACTGGCGAATGTGTTGCTCTAGAGCAAGGTGTTGAAACAGAGTAGATTAGATGCTCTACTTACACTCGAGCCATCAGGCGTAGGAAAAGGCTGACGGTCTATGATAGTAATCGAGGTGTCCTTGTACCGCGGGTTTTGACATAATGAATAGGCAGTGGAAAGTCCAAATGCGCCGCTGCCGACGATCAAGATGGATGAGGGTATCTCGGGGGATGCAGAAGAAGCCATTGCGCGCAAAGTCAAGACGTATAGAAATGCGACAACTGCGCAAAAGAAAGGAAAGACATGAAGAAAAGTCAACCTACATGAGCGCGAACGGCGTGCAAGTGCCGCTGGTGGGCCGATATCGTTGTCTGAAGGGCGTGCGTCGGCTGGGCACGGTTGATAACCTCGTGGCGGCAGGGAAGCTTTGACGCTACCGAGCGATTGGGTCGGCGCATCGAAAGATTTGAGACTTTCATTGTTGCTCGACGGCTTCACCCATTGCGTCTCACAGTCACTCGTTCCTCGGGTATTCTGTGTCTGCTTGCATCGCCATGGCAAAGCTCCCGAAGCCTCCAAAGTCGTTTCCTGCAAAACCTGCGATACCCACAAAGCCCGCTATACCACTACACAGACGCATACAACGAGCGCAGCACGATAACGACCTACCACTTCGAGCCCCCGCCAACCAAACACCTGAGCAAGCATTGAAGCGAGTATGGGCAGCACGTCCGACGCTGTCGGATCTGCAGCGCTTGTCGGATGAGGAACTGAGGTCGGCACATCATCAGGCAAAACTACGAAGATGGAGACAATGGCCAATGTTCGGCGTCGGCATGATCGCATTCGGAATGGGCACATACGCGACGATGCTCTACACGTCGTTGACACAGGATAGCGACTTGAAGGACTTGCCAGAAGATCTCTCAGACCGATTCGACAAAGAGGCCGAGGGCTATGACGAGAAGGTTGACACGTCTGAGACGCTACTCTTTTTGACCAGGAAGCGCAAGAAGCTTACTTCCATGGCCAAGGGGCATGTGTTGGAGGTGGCTGTTGGTACTGGTAGGAACATACCTTACTACAAGACCAAGCAATGCGCGACAGTGACGCTGCTCGACTCAAGCGGGCCCATGTTGGCAGTTGCAAAGCGGAAGTGGAACGACACGCACAAGGAATACTTTAGCCGTGTCTTCTTCAAGCAACAGTCTGCCACAGACCCCATAACGCCGCCATATGGTGCCCAAGACGGATACGACACAGTGATACAAACCATGGGACTGTGCTCTACGCATGAGCCCGTGAAGCTGCTCCAGAACCTAGAGGCGTCGACCAACGAGAACGGCCAGATCCTACTTCTAGAGCACGGTAAGTCGCACTACGAGTGGCTCAACAGTATGTTGGACAAGACAGCTCCCGCTCATGCGGACGAACACGGCTGCTGGTGGAACAAAGACATCGGCAAGATTGTCGAAGAAAGTGGGCTGGAAGTCGTTGACATAAAACGCTACAATTTCGGCACGACCTGGTGGTTGCAGTTGAGGCCGAGGAAGGGCATGCGGCAAAGATTGGCCGAGACCACCACCTCAGGTGAGCAGCCGCTTGCTGCACCAGCCGGATCCCCGGTTACACAGAAGCCATGGTGGTCGCTGTGGAGATGATAACTCACCGTATCGCCTCCCCCACATTCACCACCATCGAGAACATCGAGATTGTGGAGGTTTGCCGCTATTATAGATAACGCGAGTTAAACTCTCACTACCCCAAGTTGCGGCGTTGTACGAGTAGACCTAGTTTTGTTGAAACGACGTCAACTTTACGCATATTGGCGATGGAGGGGAAAGGCTCAAAGCGGCAATTCCCAGATCGCGACCATCGTAACCTGGGAGCCAACAGAAGGTCAAGCGAGATCTGCAGTCGGGATCATGGGCATTTAGAGAAATCGCGTCACGGCACTCTGGAACGCGACATCGCTTGCCCGAACTTTGTTCTGTCTTATCATCTGGGCCTGCCATGTTTTTGCATGTGTGCCTGGGATCTGGCATCTCATACCGTCGAGCACGTTGGGCTCACGCATCAGTGGCGGTCGTAATCATCATGCACAGCATTCAACTTGCCGAGTCAGATAAAGATGCATGTCATCTACAAACATGTCGTTGAGTGTGGGAACAAGCAAACAAACATGCATCTTCACCGTCTTTCACGACTTGCCAACTTCCTCATCCAGTCCACACTTCGTCTGGGGAAGATACGTAGCGCATCCGTAAATCTGTTTGCCCACTGGACAAGTGCGGCGCCATACCTTCCAGTTCCCCACAAAAGGTGACGCTGTGCTGCACATGCAGACCGGACCTGGTTCTATGCGCCTGTCCCCATCGGGGAAAGACATATGCGCGATCCCTGCACAGCCATCGGAAGTGATGGCAACTCGCGTGCGCAATGTTTGGGGGTGTGGTCGCAATGCGGAGTGGAGGCTGCTGAAACCGATGTGCCAGAAGATCCAGCTCGGCAGCATCATCCATTGTGCTTTTTCCGTGCATCGTGACATGTTATCAGCAACGCACAAAGAAGAATGAAGCCACATCTCGTGAGAACGCTTTTTGTCGTTCGCGTATTAACGTTGCCGAGGGTTGGCCGCATGCCAGTGGGAAAACTTCCGTTAAAGAAAAATTCGAGAAAAGTGTGCTCACCGCCCTGGGGCATCCTGGTTGCAGCGTTGAGGCTAAATCCACTTTGTATGCTAGGCGAAACCTCAGAACAGGGATGTCTCCGCTCTGGAACAATATGATATGCACGCTGCATCAGATCATGGAAAGCGCCCGTCCACTCGCATCGTGGCCGTTTGACTGCTTGGGGGACGGAAGATATTATGGCGGTCAGCTTGCGGGACAACTGTGACGACCCGCCCAATTGCAGATGCGAAGGATGCGCGAGGCTCCAACGAGACGTGTTGAGCATGAGGTCACTTGCGGGAAAGCCGTCTCAGGGCCAGAGACGTTCGTATCGTTGGCGGAGGTTTATCGGCAAGGAAGCATCCTTACCAGCAACGTCTAGCATGTGCCACTTGTTGCGCGCTCGGGGCAGCATGTATAGAGATCCAAGTGCGGTGTTCACTGTTCCAGGCTCAGCTGAGACCATCCAATGCCCGGAGCTTGACACGGGCAGAGGTGCAAGACACAGACAGCCGAGATTCCCAGGCTGACGGGATTGGGCAGGATAGCGAAGCCTGTACAAGACGTTGGAGCAGGCAGGCGAGAAGCCATGTTCTGAAAAGCGTCCGGCGAGTATCTACTTTAGATGACTTTACCGCGTGGTACATGCAGGTAACCACGGCATCTTGATAGGAGCGTTAGGCTCTAGCCCCTGGCCAACAAAGCAAAAACGGGCTCTAAAAGTAGTATGCTGTCATAACCAAAGAGGCGATCCCTGGATACATTCACCCTACTAGACGCACGGTCTCTTACCGGAGCCTAGTCGCTCCTTCTTCACTGTGTGCTCCACTACGCCTCCGTTCTTTCCCTCATCGCATCCCCTCTTCTTCACCACCCCTCGAACTACATCAGGGCCCGACATCAACTGTCCTGTCCCATTCCGTTTACTCTTGCTTCTCACTGTTTCTGATTCCTGATTACCGTGGTGTTGCAGCTGCACTTAATTGTGTTGCAATAGTTATTGGGTCGAACTTGAGGCAACCAGTCGCCTTCGCCGAGTTACGTATTCACTGCCTTCAGGAGGCGAGCCGCGTATTCGCGACAAAGGACGGGTGCCACTCAACGTTCAACACCATCAAACATCCCTCTCAGAGTAATCGGGCGCCCTTCTCGACGCCATCAGCTGCAGTGCAGATATCTAAGCGTCGCACGCTACCTTGCATACTCGGCGGCAGCGTTGGTGGTATAGGCTGCATTGCATTCCTACCGGACCAATCGACGACCCTGGCATTCTCCCAGTAGCAAAACACTTTTGGCTGCACACCCTCTGCCAGCGTCAATAATTTACTTCTCCCTTGGAAGACTCTCTCCTTCCTTCCTCTCCACTTGAGCGACGTTTGCGACTGCGTCGCTTCCCTCAAAATGCCCTACAACACCCGCCGGAAATCGCTGTCGCTGCCGTCACTCGGCATACAGCTGCCAGGAGCACCGCGACCTGCGCGCTCACCGCCTTCGACAAGCGACGGTCAGCACGCCGCAAAGAAACAGAAACGCTCACATTCCGGCTCACTCTCGTCGGTGCCACCATCACCACCGCGCCCCTCGTCACTGCGCTTGGATGAGCAGCGACCCAAAAGCTCAGGCCGGGTGGCAGACACCCCGCCACCTTCGCCAGGCGGCGAGTCTGGGACGACAAAGATTGACACCCAAGGCATCGACGACGAAATCGTGGTTGGCGTTATCGAACAGCTCCAGAAGACAGGCAACCGTCCCCACCTGCTAAAAGAACTCGCCCTCGTTCTGTCGCCCATTATTCCAATCGTTGAGAGGTATGTACCAAACTTCCAAGCATCCAAGCTCCGTCACTAGTTTCGTAGTCACTCATGCTGACGTACTCTAGCTCCGCGAACCCAGCTGCCATCATCTCGTCACGCTTAGCCACCTACTTGAAGCGCAATTGGACAGCTCTGTCGAGATGTCCGCTCGACAAGAAGCTCGTTGGTACTCACCCCAAGCGTGTCTACTACTTCCTCTCCACCTGCCCGCATCAACCTATCCCAGCCGACGGAAGTGCCACCGCCATCGCACCACGCATCGTCACCCCATCGCTCTCGTCTGCAACCTCGGAAGAGGAAGACATGGATGCGAGGTCAAGAGATCGCATGTCGCCGTCGCCAGAATTAGACCTGTCTGACTACGACAGCGTCAACAGCGATCCCTTCTCCAACCAGAGCCATCCACCCACGACTGCAAACATCTCGCACAACCGCCGGGCTCAATCGCCGCCTTTAGAAAAGGACGAGCGCGAGTTCACCCAGACTGCCTCGTTTCTCCAACAACGCCGCATGAGCCAGGAGGCCGAGCGCGAGCGATCTGCTAGCGTATCCGCCGAGTCAACACAACATAGCGATGTCAAGATGGAAGAAGTCGCCGTTTCCGTCGAGGAGACCGTAGAAAGCGCCGCGCTCAAGGACTCTGAGGCGGCTGCAGCACTCTTTGGTCAAATGGACCATCTTATGACGTTCCAGAGCAGCCCTGCGATGAAACCGGTCCTCCACATCGAAATGCCTCCACCGTCGCTCAAGCGCAAATCGGTAAAACTTGAGCTCGACGACGACTGGATCATGAAGAGCCCGGAGCTTATCGATCTTGACGAGCTTGATGATCTTTTCGGCGGCTACTAAGCCGCCCGTCTCTTTCTCACTATTTCTCTGCGTCTATGACATTTACGATTCTCCTGGGGCACGTCTCTCATCTATTCCTCCTCTATCTATTGTATTCTCTCCTCTTGTCGTTTCGTCATAGCGTATGTCCTAGATGGATTCCATTTTGCCGCTCGCGCTGCACTTTACACTCTAGGGATGTTGGTTTATCGCATGGAGTTCTTGAGATCATGGGTGTCTAGGAAGGAATTCTGTACGATAACTGTAGAGTGTAGTTGTGCGATTACCAGCCAAGGGATCAGGCGCTGGATTGTTACTCGGCGCATGATTGCGCGCGCATCTGCGACTAGGGGTTGGTCAACATTTACCAGAATGTTGCGTCGCGTAGAAAGCGACGAAGAATGAACTGAAAGGAAACGGAACTACTAGATAAAAGTTCTTGAAATTGAAAAACAGTTGATATCCCCTCCAAAACAATTTACGTTTGCATCAAAACAAGCTCGGAAAATGTCCGTGATTTCGGCAATCTCGATGTTGCCGACCATTGCTGGTGGGCCGGGTGTCCCTTACCACCACGTACCTTTTCCCTCACCGCCCGACTCGCACGCTTCCTGCACCTAAGTCTACACCTGGCATGCACCTAACGCATAACAGTATGGAAAATTGGGCCTTCACCGGCAGGGCTACCTGCGCCCAATGCGGCTCCATGCGATGCAGCGCATCCTAGTCTCAGAAAGGAAGTGAGCTCGAGCTTGGCGCTGCGTTGTTGAAGAAGTTGCGGTCGAGCTCGATGTGCTGGAGAACAGCCTCACTTTGGACGCAACACGCGCACACTTGGGCACCAGCGGGGTAAAATTGACTGAATCTTTGCACAACTACAGTTATACTCTCATCAGCCTGGTAATAATCAACAATCCCGAGGGGTAATCGCATGTTCGCAGACAAGAGGCTGGGTAAGCGAGTCCAATGACTTGGGCACCCCCAGCCTACAGCAAAGCTTTGAAGCCGACGCCCAACCACTCGACGTAAGAGTGCGCTGTGCGCTGCGCGACACGTCCGCCCCATTTCCTTTCCCATCATATTGACCATCCGACCCCCTCCGTTTCGCGATTTCTCGTGCCCTGCGTCAAAGTGCTTGCTGCAGGTTCCCGAGGCTGATGAGGTTATCGGCTGCCTCGCTTACTCCCGCCCATCAGGTCTGAAGAGTTGGAACACGGAAGAGCTGGAAACTGTGAATAGCGGAGGCTGGGGATTCGCGACCGTCGCATCCATCTGCCCAACAGAGTTGCGACAGTTAGCAGACGAAGCGCGTTGTTCCGGTGTCTTCCCAACGGTATACGACAGGCCATTCGCGGACATAACACCAAGGCTGCCAGCAACACAACACCAGCAGAGTGGATAGTCGACACGTGGATAAACGACAACCCGGTTAGCCGCATTGCCAGTCACCAAATCTCGCCGCGGGCGCAAAAAGCTCAACCATATTGACGTAGCTCGCTCTAATTCCCCTTGGACTTGGGCTGCGTCCGCTCCACGACAACAATTGCCCTTTTCAAAGGCACATCAAGAAAGAGCAAAGAATCTCAAGAAAAGAATGTCTGTGGCACTGTCGCGAGCGCGGAGCAGAAGTCGGGCGCCCAGCACCAGAGCGCCTTTAACACCAGCGCCCATCGTTGTGGACGTTCCGCGAAGTGGGGCTAAATCACCGCTCATTATTGATGTACCAGTAGAACGGCCCCGCGCAAGAAGCAGAAGCGTGCGTAGCATGCGCGAACCCATGGTCGATGCACCAGGACTCAGTGGTGGAAGGGGGATGTTCAAGAGGTTGATTGTTGCATGCGACGGAACTTGGCTAAACTCGGATGATGGAACCAAGAACGGGACTCTTTCCATCCCAAGCAACATTACCCGGATATCAAGAGCTATCAAGGCAGTTAGTCAGGATGGTATTCAGCAGATTGTCAACTACTCTCAAGGACTTGGGACGGAAGGCGGAAAACTGTCTCGTTTAGTTGGGGGCGCCACAGGCAAGGGCCTCGGTGACGATGTCCGAGAGGCGTACTCCTTCCTTGCCAACAACTATCACCCAGGAGACGAGATTTTCTTGCTAGGCTTCTCAAGAGGCGCATTCACTGCGCGTAGCATTGGAGGCTTGATTGGAGAGATTGGTCTCCTCACAAAGAAGGGTTTGAATACCCTACCAGAAGTGTATGAGGATGTTCAAAATCGGCGGAACCCCGACTATCGCCCAAAGCACGAGGACGTGCCCTTTCCCCGGAAACCAAGTGCAGATGACCCGCGATACGCAGAAGAACTGGAGCGCAGGGGACTGACCAGGCTCGATATTCCAATCAAATGCATAGCGGTGTGGGATACGGTTGGCAGTCTCGGCATACCGCGGATCGGCAAGCTGCAACGTCTGGGTCTTCAAATGAAGCAGTCAAAGGCGACAACTTTCTACGACACCAAACTCTCCAACTGCATTGAAAACGCATTCCAAGCTCTCGCTTTGGATGAGAACCGGGCATCATTCTCACCTGCTGTTTGGGAGAAGCCTGAGGGAAACCGTACAACGCTCCGCCAAGTATGGTTCCCTGGTGCGCATGCGAATGTCGGCGGCGGTTACGATGACATGCAAATCGCGAATATCAGTCTTGCGTGGATGATGAGTCAACTTGAACCATTCCTGGACTTGCGATCTGAATACCTATTCGAACAAGATGATCTGAATGAAAAGTACTACAAGAAAGAAGAAGGCGCGATCAGACCGTGGAGTTTTGGAAAGATCTACAACGAGCTAAAGGGCGCTTTTGCGTTGGGTGGCAGTACAGTATGTCTTTCCTTGCTGAGAAGTAGGCATGAGCAAATGTGCTAATTCATGATAGCAACGCAAACCAGGTCAATACACCTCGGTAGACCCCTTCTCAGGCCGTGCAACAGACCGCCCTCTCCGCCAAACAAACGAGTACATCCATCCCTCAGTTCGCACGCGCTACCGCCTAGAAGGCCCTGGCATCCAAGACCGTGGCCTCTACGAAGCCCGCGCCCTAACTGACAGCTACAAATTGGTCGTCGACTACGGCGCCAACAACTCCCGCGCCGGCGACGCAGAAGTCTACTGGAAAATCAAGTGGAGAGACACCATGGCTGTCAAAGTACTACCCGAAGCCCCACTCTGGAGACTGGAAAGGGAACTGGCGAAGCGCGATCCCGCAACATATGATTACATCAAGAAACCCCCTGCCACCACCTCGACGCGATCGAAACGAAAGACTGCACGGCCTCTAAGCGCGGATTTTAGCAACAGCAAGGCTGGTGGCTTGGCTAGTCCGACGTCCAGGAAAGGCAGGAGAGATACGTTTTCCCCCAGGAGTACGTTTCCGGCAGAGGATCGCGGGCCGTTGCCCAGACGGAGTAAGACGGGCGTGGATAGGGCGGAGAGGCCGAGGAGTAGGAGTAGGGCGCGCAGTGTCGAGTTTGCGAGTGATCGGGAGACGGATATTAGAGAGAGTATGCCGCATCGGAGGGAGAAGGATAAGGCGTGGTGGGAGGGGCGGAGGTGATGGATATGAGACTGGGAGACAAAAAGTTGATTTAAGCGGTCCTTTTCTCCCTCTCTTTCTCGGCTTTCTTTAGACTTTTTTTTTCATGATTGGCTTCATATAGGAGATGTTGGATATATGCGGATACCCTTTAGATGTAATAAATTTCGATAACTATGACTATTCGTTTCTAGATGTGAGGGATGTATTGAGCCCATGGTACTGCTTTGTATATCTCTGGGGGTGCGGATCGTAACGCGAAGAAGACTTCGAAGAGCAAGAACAAGCGTACAGAAACATATAGAAGAGTTGATATCACAAGTGTGCCATCTGAAAGTCTCTTCCACACTCCCGCAGATGGAACATGCCATGTGAGTAGGAACAGTATGACCAAGGGAACACACACACAGGATATGCTGGCAGATCTCCATAAGTATGTTTCAAGAGGAGTCGGAAATGGGTAATTCCATCCAAACAGATGACAAGACCCGAAAAATACCGTGGACATCGCTAAAGCTATGTATGCTAATGTGTCCGTCGAAGTCTGATGTATCCACCCCCTGTCACATGTCTTCATTGTATCGTAATCTTCTCCTGGCCTCAAACCCAGTAGATAGAATATAGGTTCCCACGTGCGCCTGTTTGTGGAACACTCCGGGAGAGAACGTTCGAGCTTAAGCGTTTGTTCTGCAGACAGTGACGGATCAGGGTATATTAAGAACGGTGTCTGGACATCGAAGGGTTTATGCCACCAGAATCCGTACACGGAGAAAGCACATATAACATATGCCAGCGTGAACCACTCCAACGGAGAAACCACTATGGCGGATGTAAGCCTGCCGAGAAGTTGGGAAAAGAACCAGAATATTTGGATCGAGGCCACGGCTTTGTTGAAGGCGTTGGCTTTACTTTTATCTTGTACAGCTGCGATTGAGAATTCTTCGCATTCGATCCAGCCTTGCTCGATGAATCTGATCATACGGGGAGCGGGTAGGATCGCTTCAGGGGCGTCCGGTGCTGTCGATAACCGGAGCTTGACACCATGCATCAATATGAGGTGACTGAACGCATGCGACCATTCGCGCTCGTCCTAACAGGCCCAGTTAGCTACTTCGCTTTGGCATCGAATCTCAGAAAATGGTTGTTAACAACATGCAACGCCGATGTAACAGAGTTAGGTACGTACCGGCAAGATATTGGTTATCATTCTGCTTACTCTGTGGACACCAAACCATTCGCTGACAGCGCATGCAACGAACCATTCAGGCGCGATGATTGCCAGTACAAATATAACGATCTTGTAGAAAAGCAAACGACCAGCCGATAAGCCTTCCACAGGCATATCCAAATGGAGTGCACTCCAAGTGCATATGATGGTCGTCGATATGCAAGTATACAATAGTGATGATGTGCCGCGCGTTACTGGCTCGCTGACCCAACCGACATTGTTTGGGTCTTGTGTAGTCATCGTACCGCACCTGTTGTCGTTTGGTGGCGCCTCACGAAACCTGTCAATTTGTGGTATATCAAGACAATGTTGTATATATAAACAGAGCACATCTGATGGCAGCACAGTCTCTATAAGACAGCATGTGGTGTGGCGAAGCAATGCGTGCAGCGCGTAAAGTGCAGAAGGCTGCAGCTAAAGGCTGAAATTCGCGGCTGTGCAAAGTCGCGGTTGCCAATGAATTCCATCTCATGCCTCAACGACTTTTCCTACGTTGATTGAGATGTGAACATCTCTCCTCTGCCCTCACATGGCGACCAACGGTCCATTGACGTCGTTGATCTGCGCACGTCCGGTCTACCCACAGATCTCCTTTATTGGACCCTTGCTGATGAGGCTCGATCCGCAGAGGGGACCCTGGCCAGTCTTGTCCGTCAGCAGTTTCACTGAGAAATGACCGGACCGACTGAGTTCAAGGGAGATACTCGGTCATGCTTAATAGAAGTGCGATGCTGATGCTCAAGGTGATGTGATGTGGTTTTTGTAGTGGGCTTGCAGGAGGCTGGCGTGAGGGCTGACGTGACTGGCTATAACAAAGTCGATGATCGCCATCCCTCGGGAAACCAAAATCGTTCTCGCGTGCCGAAATGCGCTATCGAATACTGCATGAAAGGACACGCAAGCCCATGATGGAGGGTCTGCAGAAGCTCAAAAAGAGCACATGATTATGGAGAAAGTACGAGAAAAGTCTTGGGTAATAGGACGAGGCAGAATACGAAGAGCGCATTGATTCAACGCTCGGAAGAATAATCTGTTGCGGAGCTAGAATGTTATATTTAGGGTTGCATTGCCCTAGCGCTAGTCCCAGCCCCTGGTCTGCCCATTCGCCGCTGGGCTCGTAACTACGCTGAGACCACCGACCACCCTATCCAGCCAGCCCAGCTCTCCTTTCGCATCCGCCGTTGAGCAAAACCATCAATCGCTTTATCGCTGCCTCGAATTCACGCCTCTTCTCCCTCTCGCCCTTCCGCCAGTCGCTCGTTTTATCGGACGGAGGAGTGTTTGTAATACCTTGCTTGCGTAATCTACGTGTCGCGTCGCCTCTCGCTCTACTGCTCCCGTTCCGCCTTGTTGACACCCACCCGAGTTGCACAATCCCCTCGATTCCACGCGGATTTTCTCGCCTGCCGAAACAAGCCCTTATTCCGGAACACTTTACTCGGGGCTTCATTGCTTTGAAGTTTGAAAGAATACTTTTAGTTGGCATCATTTCGACAACATGAGGCCGTCTCAGATTCTCGCTGCCGTCGTGGCCATGTCGTCGGTCACCCAGGCCATGAACGTGAAGCATGCATTCGACAACATTTCCGGATTGACTGATGTCAAGAACGTGCTTCTTGGACGTCAGGATAACAGTATGTGGATTCAACTTGTGATCGAATGACCAAAGTACTGATGGAATAATTTAGACAACAACAATGACAACAACGACAACGCCTCCTCAGATGCACCCGCCAGCACACAACCCGCACGAACATCCGCCGCCGCAAAACCGACCGCAACCGGTGACAACAACAATAACGACGATAACAACAACGACAACAACAGCAGCGGAGACAACGCTTCCAACACTGCAAAGGAAACAGCAAGCGGCACAAAGAAGCCCTCCGGCTCCAAGACAACTGGAAAGGGTTCCAAGTCCACCAGCTTCGACGCCCGGTTACCCGCCGGAGGCCTCACAATGGTCACCCCCAACGCCCTTGCCGGAACACAATTCTACAAGGTCGGCGACTGGGTCACATTCGCATGGAACTACACCTCGCTCTCTGTGACACCCACGGCTATCGATGTCCTTGCCTCTTGCACCGCCAACCAAGCTACCTACACCATCTCCGTCAACATGTCCGCCACCGAGACTGAAGTTCTCTGGAACACAAAGAACACGCCAGAGGGCCAGGCGCCGTTCTTGACCGAGAACTACAAGCTGCTCATCTACGACTCTGATCTTAGTGCTACTGCGGCGCCGAGGGCGGGTTATCTGGGTGCTTTCACTGGCTTCACCTTCGGCATGTACTTGCCCCAGGAGTACATTTCGCTCAAGGGTAAGTTTGGATTCCATGTTCGATGTTTGTATTCAGGAGTAAACGCTAACGAATGATAGATGGCTACACATGCCCCAACTGCAACGGCGCGCTCTCCCTAACCGAGAAAATGACCCTCGGAACCATGCTCCTGACTACCGGAACTACGCTCGGTTCGATGCTGTACTTCACCTACCAGTTCGGTATCTGGTAAATGAAGCACCTTTTGCTGCACACGTACGAGATACACATGTACGATATACGGAAATCCCCGATACACAAAAACGCAAGACTCGACACGCATCACTGCGGTTACGATAACGGCAACTCATTCCTTGTTTTTTCTTATCAACGCAACCTTCACATCTGTCCATATTTTTTCCACTCCTTTATAAAACGATCCGATGGATTGGCGCTTTCTGGTGCGTTGGGGGTGAAAGAGGGGATATATGGGAGCGATCTTTTTTTGAAAGCCCATGGTTTACAATCCTTTCTTTGTGGAGAATTTGGGACGTCTGGTGTTATTGGAGTTATATGTATATTGCATAAAGGAGCGGGGGCTTTTGAAGGGACAGTGCTGCGTTGTTGCAACGGAAAATCTAGCAGTAATACTTGGATTATCTTTGGCAGATGTGGGGGATAAAGGGAATGCATGTGAACAGGTATGGCTTGAAGATGATGGATGTCTAGTGGCGTGTAGCATCTTCGTTAGATTGAAAGGAGAGAAAACATGAGGAAAACAACTTGTTAAGCACAACGGCGTCAGACTGCAACTGTGAAATCTGTCTGTGATATACTTGATTTCCAAGAGACTTTGAGGTAATCTGACGTCGAGTTCTGGCTAGCATGTCACCATCTCGCCGACCTCCGACCTCAACGATACCCCGCTCTACGTCTCCTCTACGCCTCCTCTACGCCTCCAGCAGCCTTCGTCCAATAAGATGTAGAGGCATTTGATGATGATAGGTCAGACTGCAGCCGCTAGGAGATATACACGCGGATACATGCTGGCGGTGAGCGCCGTGCTTGAGACTAGCTTTGTCCCGTTCTATGCCTCCAGATACAGCTCTGACATATAAGGTAGTCTTGCATTCGATGTACAAGGTCTCTTCTTCTCACCCCATTGTCAAGAATCAGTTTTAACCAAAACCCTTCTCACAAGTCAACTCCATACCACTTCCGAATCGTACCCTCACAAATTCTTACTACCACGCCCACGGCGGGACCCCCCGTCAGGCCTCGCGGCTACCCTACATAGCCAGCCTTAGGCGGAGGCTAACGTAGTCTTCGCCTTTACCTCTTCTAATCTTCCCTTCGTCACCCTCTACTTCGTCATTTTCGAGATTTGGACTCTCTCGCGACGATTCACTTCCTGTTTCTTACTTCAGCCCCTTCGCTTTTGAAAAGGACCTAAATCCTGTGATACATACACCGTATCTTCAAAACAAAACTACACCCGAAAACGGAATACCGGCTTCAACTTTTGACGACAGCAACAACTCGTTTGTATCCCAGGAACAATCTCATACAAACACCCCAGCTACTTCGGGAAGCAGCCTCGACGACAACGGTTCATCAATATTTGACGAGCAGTCATATTCGAATAACACCCCTGCCTCAGAAAGCAGTTTGAACAGTAGGCTCTCGTCAATCTCGCCACTTCCAGAACGGTCAATACGCCCCAAGAATAGCAAAACAGACAAGAAACACGGGTTATCCTGCAACACTTGCGGATGCACATTCGATCAGCCCTATCAACTCAAGTATGTATGACCACGGTACCGGGAATACGTCATCTAACTAACTCTCAAGTCAACACGTCAATCGAAAGCACAACAAACGCTTTGAGTGTTCTTTCAACGGCTGCTCGAGCGTCTTTGGCCTTAAAACAGATCTATATCGTCACAAAAAGACACATCAAGCATCAGCTGCCCAAGAACGATTTCATTGCCCAGAAACGAACTGCGAACGTCACTTCACGCGAAAAGACAATCTAAAGAGACACCAACGAGAGTGCCACTAAATCCCGCCTGAGCACGAGACCGCATCGCCTACGGAACCACTTCTTCGAAACAAAATTAAGAAATAAAAACGTAAAAACACAAAAACGCAAAAACACACAAAGACACCCAAAGCACATCGAGACCACCACCAAACCTCCTGCCCCCTTCATTTCCTTACAAAATGTCAGAGTCCCATCAATTATGACGATGATGACCTCGGTGGAGTGGGAGACGCTGCCCGTGTGGCCGTCGTACGACTTCGAGTTGTATCCGGAGTACTCCACCTTGGGGTCGTATGGGGAGCATTCCTTGGGGTTGTATGGGGAGCTGCCCTGGGTGCCGAACAGTGAGCTGCCTTTGGAACCGTGGCAGCCGCTGCCTATGTGGTCGTACGAGCCGTCCGTGGCGCTGTATGAGATGCCGTCCGTGG